GCATCTCAAATAATTACTTGCTTAAATATCTTGGAAGCCCAACTCAATATCTGTCCCATTACAGATGAGACGTCAGGATTCCTCGTCCTCGGGCCCCGTCAGCGGTTCCCCGTCCTGCGGTCTGAGCTCCGGCTGTGAGCCGGCTGGGGTGCGTGTGGACCGAGTGGTGCTGTATGAAGGTCTGCGAGAGGTCGAGATCATCGAGGACTGTCACTGCGAAGCCAAAATGAGCCAGTGCGTCCGAGCGCCGGCGCTGAGAACATATTACTCTCAGACCCCGTACGAGACCGTTATAGACGCAGGCAAATGTGTGGGGTCCAAAGGGGCACCAGGTACATCACAATAATATGATTCATACTACAGGTTCGAGGAGGGAAAGTAGTGATTTAAGTCACAGTCCTCTGATGATTGCACGTGTTTTACCTTACAGAGGGATTTTCATGCGTCCCCACTAAGTTTGATTCCACCCTCATTGAAACTCCTAACAAAGTGGAGCTGATCCAAACCGTGGCTCAATGCAAACTAATGGAGGGATGTTACCGTATCCCGTATGTGGAGTATCATTACGAGATCACATACAACGAGGACGGAGTCCAAGTAGAAAGTCTGAGGGTGAGTAAAGCAACAAATGCAATTGCATGAGTTGCATAAATTGAGTTTCCACTTGTGTGAATCTGAATAAAACAGGTTTGCACAACAGGGAATCGTTTCTAATTGTAATTTCATCTCTTTTTAAAGTTATGAACAAAGGTTCTTCCAGTAACGTTAATAGAACGTTTAGTAAGAGTTATGTGGTCTTTTAGTAATGTCCTAAAAATGTTATTATTTTTTACATTGTTCATTAAAAGTCTGTTTTTTTTCCTGGTCTGATGGTTTAAAAATAATAATAATAATGTTTCGGAATGTTCAGAGAACATTCAAAAGTAACATTCCCATAATGTTTGCAAAATTCTAAAATAGAATGTTCCAAAACAAGACTTTGGACGTTTTGAACATGCAGAGAACTTTAAAAAACAACAACATTTTCATAACTTAACTGGAACGTTAGTACACTGTTTTTAGAACACACGTATATGTGTGTTAGCTGGGCTCAACCATCAGATGTAATGGTGTGTTTACACCGAACGCGAATTTAATTATTTGCGCGAGTAGATTACATACAAAGTCCATGCAAAGACGCGAATAGACGCATCATTCGTTGCGAATGACGCGAATTGGGCGACGCGTTTGCCGCGAATGTCTTCCGCGCAAGTTGAAAAAATTGAACTCGAGCGAATGTTCAAGCGTCTAACTAGACGCGATAGACGCGTATTTGACGCTCTTTTCGCGTTCGGTGTGAACACACCATAAATCTGTCTGGTTGTGTTTGAATTCAAGACATGGCAAAATGTAGTTGAAAAACTAGCATAAAGGTTTTTGATATTATTTTTAAGTAATTTCAACTTAAAATATATTAAACTGACTTTAAAAAAGGTTGAATTTACTTTTAAAGTAAAGACATATGTTGTCTTAACTTATTGATCATATCATTTTTTACAGTCTTTACTGAACTGAACTCCAGGATCTCACACCAGTAAAGCCTTTCAGTCAAAGAGGAAATTAGTCATTTCCAAGTGATCCATGCTTGTGTACCCATTTGTTAGACAAAAAGATCAGGATCCTGATCCATTTCCCCCTCCAGACATTTCCAATTCACATTTCCCTGATTGGACAACAATGAACTCAAGTGTGGATATGCATGAAGAAGATGTTACACACTAAATAACTACTTAGTGCTAGAACGTCCCATAGCTTACAGATAGGCTGTGCTAAAGAAATGCTCAGATAATTTAATTTAATGCAAAAGCATGAATTTAACATGAATCCGTATGCCTTGATGGTTATTTTTGTGAGGCTAAGTGCCATGAAAAGTGACAAAATGTCCCAAATATTTAACATGCACAAAAAAGCTCCTTAATTCGTCATATTTTATGTTTTTCATTATGTTCTGTAGAGCTATCAAGTTTAGTGTGACTTTAAAGTATTTTAAATCTCTATAATAGGAAAATGCCCAGAAAATCAGTTCCAACTATTATATTAAGTAAAAGTGAATTTCTAAAACAGACATGAGGTTAAATCTTGCTATTGTGAGGTTTAGTGCGATCTGCTTATTGAACACATGTGTGTCAGATGTTCTGTCTGTCGCCGCTCTCGTAAAAGGTGTGAGGAGGACACAAATGGTCCCTGCAGGTGCCAAATCAAAGCACTTCGCATGTTAGCGGGCCGTCCCGCATTAACAGCAGGCGCTGAACTGATGGCTTCTCTCTCTTGTGTTGCTAATTTTCTTACAGGAAATAGATGTTGGCAGATGTTTGGGAAGCTGCACCTCAGGGAGCCGCTGTCTTCTCAGGTACACGCCGGAATATCCCACCTTACACACAGCTGAGCAAACACACACACACACACACACACACTCTCTCTCTCTCTCACACTCAGCTGTGTTTTTGTGATATATGAGGACATTCCATAGGCGTAATGACTTTTATACTGGACAAACTGTATATTCTATCCCCCTACACTGCCCCTATCCCTAAACCTGCCCATCACAGGAGACATGCTGCATTTTTACATAAAAAAAAAACACATTGTTTTTTATGTTTTTTAAGCTATTTGAAATATGAGGACTCATGCAATGTCCTCATATATCACGTGTAAGTTATAATACCAGTGTAATATGCATGTCATTATACACATTTGTGTCCTCATATATCACAAAAACAAGAGCACACACACACACACACATTCTCTCTCTCACACACACACACACACACTTCTCTCTCTCTCTCTCTCTCTCTCTCTCTCTCTCTCTCTCTCTTTCTCTCTTTCTCTCTCTCACACACACACACACACACTCTCTCTCTCACACACACACAAACACACACACACTCTCTCTCTCTCTCTCACACACACACACACACTCACTCTCAATCTCACACACACACACACACACACACATTCTCTCTCTCTCTCTCTCTCTCTCTCTCTCTCTCTCTCTCTCTCTCTCTCTCTCTCTCTCTCTCTCTCTCTCTCTCTCTCTCTCTCTCTCTCTCTCTCTCTCTCTCTCTCTCTCACACATACACACACACTCGTTTTATGGGGACTCTCCATAGACATAATGATTTGTATAGGCCTACTGTACAAACTTTATATTCTGTTCCCTTGCACTAACTAACCCTACCCCTAAACCTGCCCATCACACACACACACACACACACACACACACACACACACTAACCCGACCCCTAAACGTACCCATCACACACACACACACACACACACACACACTAACCCGACCCCTTAACCTACCCATCACACACACACACACACACACACTAACCCGACCCCTAAACCTACCCATCACACAAAACTTTCTGCATTTTTACATTTCAAAAAAACTCATTTTGTATGATTCAAAAGCTGTTTTCCTCACGGGGACCAAAAAAATAACCCCACAATGATTTTAGATATTGCCGTCTTTGTTTTTCCCCATAATGTGGGGTTTACCAGGCCACACACACACACACACACACACATTCTTGTAAATCTTTCATTGTGAAGACATTCATTGACACAATGCAATCTCAAGCTCCAGACCCTAACCATCAAAACTAAGTGCCTAACCCGAACTCTTCCCTTACCCAACTATAACCTGATCCCTAAAACAAAGTCTTGACCCTCAAACAGGCCTTTAAAGAGGTCTCAGAAAGTGAGGACCGGACAAAATATCCTCTCTTTGTCCTCACCCCGATGGTGTAAAACGCAAACCAGTCCTCACAAAGATAGATGTACAAGTACACACACACACACACACACCCTTTACAGTGCACACCAAAACACAACAGTTTACTTCTGTTAGTCTTTAAACCAAAGCAGAAATACAACAGTTTCTATGTTAGTTAGTTGTATAAGTGAAATTGCCTTTGTTTTCTAATGTATTATCAAAAGTACCATGGTAATTTAATTTTTCAGGGTAGTTTTGGTGACATGAAACACACACACACACACACACGCACACACTCACACACATTTTATTATGTTTTTGAAAGAAGTTTCTTATGCTCATTAAGGCTGCATTTATTTAAGCAAAAATAAAGTATAAATACTAATATTGTGAAATATTTTTACAATTTAGAATAAGTGTTTTCTATGTGAATATATAGTTCAGCATCATTACTCCAGTCTTCAGTTCTAATATGCAGATCTGCATCTACTTATGCAGAAACATTTTTTTAACTGTATTTTTGATCAAATAAATGCAACCTGAATGAGCATAAGAGACTTACTTAAAAAAAATAATTAATTACTCCAAAAATTTGACCGGTAGTGTAAAACATAAATGTAAATGGGATTAATAGATGTAGAATATATCTTTCCGTTGTAATTACTTCTGTCCTATAAGTTCAAGCTTAGTGTGAGGTTTCTATAGACATTAACAATTTTAAACAGTTTTTAGGGTGACTGACAAAAGGTTCTTGATGAGAAATTATTCTTTTTGTCATTATAATGTGTGCTTTTGTTCAAAACTTGGATGAGGAAACATACTAGTGGAACATTTCGACAATACAAGAGAAAGTTTCAACAGATCTAGTTCAAGAGTGAAAGTTTCATTTAGAGCACTGTGAGATATCAAAAACTCTCACAAAATATGATTTACTTTTGGCAAGTCATGTTTGATGTGTAGCTATAATACAACTCAATCACGTTGGCTTTTTTTACTGGTTCTATATATGACTGGTTTGGATTTCATACTGACTATATCAGTGTGTATGCAGAAGTAAAAGTTACACATACTCTATTCACAGACACATTTGTCCTGCGCAATTCATTTAATCAGTAGCTGATCAGAACTGAACAGCATTTTAAACACATTTGCTAAAAGTATTACTCATTATTTTAGGAGTAAAAAAGTGTGTACACAATGGAAAGGTTATTTAGTGCAGCTTTAAAGCGTCGGCACTGATGATTTGAGTGCAGTGAATGTTTTGTAGATGTTCACTATGGATTGGTTCATTCGTTTAAATTAATACATTTTTAGCGAACTGTGATTTTAGTATATGTACATTTCTGAAATACATAACTCAACCTCTGATAACAGATCACTTTAAATGTGACCCTGGACCACAAAACCAGTCATAAGTCGCACGGGTATATTTGTGGCAATAGCCAAAACACTGTATGGGTCAAAATTATGTATTTTTCTTTTGTGCCAAAAATCATTAGGATATTAAGTAAATATTAGTAGATATTTTGTAAATACCTTAAATATATCGATTTTTATTTTTGTATGCAGCACGATCGCCAACAGAAATGGAAACCTTTAAAGGAGATTTTCTCAATGTTTTGATTTTTTTTTTTGCACCCTCAGATTCCAGATGTTCAAATAGTTGTATCTCGGCCAAATATTGTCTTATCCTAACAAACCATACATCAATGGAAAGTTTATTTAGGCTATTCAGCTTCCAGGTGATGTATCAATCTCAAAAAATTTTTTTTTTTTAATGGACACATAAGACTGGTTTTGTGGTCCAGGGTCACAAATTGTAATGTGGACTTGATGAAAGATGTGTATTGTGAAAAGTGCTATACAAATAATAATGTGAATTGAATTGAACTGTGTTTCTGCAGGAGTGCGTCTGATCTCGGGGAATGTCTGCTGTGGGCTGAAGGACAGGGCAACGCTTGTGTTCCTCAAGACTACGAGAGCCACACTTTCCTCAGTCAACACGGACAGATCCGCACCGTTCTGGCCATCACTTCTTGTCTATGCCAGTCTTAAACACATCGCCACCCACTGGAAGACTTCAGCGACTACATGAATTTGATCATTTGCACGGCCCTAATGTCAGGTTTGGGGTTGTGCATTGATGAATGGCAATTTAAAAGCATGATGCCGTTCAAATATATCTGTAATATATGTAAATTATGTAAAAAGTATTTTGTAAATAAAATCTATGTTAGAAAATCTTTCAGTCTACCATCTTTGGACTACTTGACAAGATGCACTAGACTAGAGTGTTACACGTGCAAATCATGTCTCAGCTTTAAATCACGTTACAAATCAACCAATAATTAAGGCATTAGCAAGACATGCAGATGACAAAGAGGCGTCGCATATGCAAAATAGCCTACAAAATACTGTAATACCAACTAAATATTTATAGAGAGGGAATTCAAAGTTAACAGACAGACAGACAGACAGATAGATAGATAGATTGATAGACATATATATATAGACAGACGAATAGATAGATAGACAGACAGATAGATAGATGGATAGATAGATAGACAGACAAATAGGCAGACAGACAGACAGATGAATAGATGGATAGATAGACAGACAGACAGAGAGATAGATGGATAGAGAGATAGGTAGACATACAGACAGATAGATAAACAGACAGACAGCTAGATAGATAGATAGACAAGACAGTTAGACGAATAGGCAGATGGATAGAGATGGATAGATAGACAGACAGACAGACAGACAGATGAATAGATAGATAGATAGATAGATAGATAGATAGATAGATAGATAGATAGATAGATAGATAGATAGATAGATAGATAGATAGATAGACATAAATAGACAGACAGATATATAGATAGACAGACGAATAAGCAGATAGATAGATAGATAGATAGATAGATAGATAGATAGATAGATAGATAGATAGATAGATAGATAGATAGATAGATAGATAGATAGATAGTATTTGCAGAAGCCTAATATAGTCCATCAGGGTTTAAGAGGCATTAAATGATGATTCGGTCGTGACCTTCTTTGATTTTGAAGCTTAAAAGATTATGTGAATAAAATGAGTCACAACAACTCAAAAACTAAAATAACTGATTGAAGTTCTGAAGTTCATTAATCTTAAAGCAACATAAAGCTCCTATATGACATAATATAAGAGCTCCTGCCACCCATAAGTAGTAATAAATCTCCTCACATTGCCAGACGGATCAGGGGATTCAAACACACTATAATGAGCCCTAATGAAAACAAACACACCAGATGAGAAATTAAACTAGTCTAAACCACCCAGAAAAGTCACTCACAATTACATTAACTATCTATTGATTCAAACTCGACGAGGATTGAGCTCATTTATGCAAATCCAGTCCTGCGTGTTAAAATGAGGTAATTTTTAATTTGCCCAGACTCAAATCTCTGTTTGAGCAGGTGTGTGTGCCATTAACATGAAAACACAGGGCGCATGCTTTCGAAATAATTGTTCCCAGTATCCCATTATCCTCGTTTTGTCTCAGTTAATGGATCCATTCTGAAGGAAGTTAACCACCCGCCGCGCGCAAAACGCGCGCAAACGACTCTTCAAGACGAGCGAAATGTAGTGCGTTAAAATATCTTACCTTTAGATGTAACCTTTTTCTTTAATCTAAATATATAGGGCTTATTTACAGCAGTGCACATTTGATAAACACTAATTTCCCCCCAGGATCTCTCGAGGACCACCAGTCCTGTTCGCACCTCGTTAACACCGCCATTAGATTTGCTTTACATTCACTGATTGTTGATTTACATTTGCGACTAAATAGCAGCTCTTTATGGCTGTTGACCGAAGACTTTGGGCCAACATCATATAAACCGGTGCCACTCCGGCAGAGCTTCAGTTAGTCCATTTCCAGCCACCAAACACCGTCTCTGAGGATTTGATCATCATGTTGCCTGCAGTGATCTGGATCTCCGTGATGATGGGCCTCGCCGTCAGCAGACCGTCTCTCAATTACCTGGAAAACCACTTTACAGTGCAGAACGAGTCTGAAGAAGTGCGTTCCGAGGCGATTAAGAGGCTTTTGGAGGTGTTTGGGATGGAGGACCCTCCTGCTGCACTGGTTCGGGGACACAAACAGCCTCCCCAGTACATGCTGGACCTGTACAACACCATCGCAGATGTGGACGGTGTCACCAAAGACCCCTCGCTCCTGGAGGGAAACACGGTGCGAAGCTTCTTCGATAAACGTAAGATACTTTCTGATTTCTTTTTTCACTTGAAGTGGGAGAGTGGACATAAAAAAGAACATTTGGGATGGAAAAGTGTTGGAGAGCAGTTGTCTTTTCACTCAAAAATGCTGGGTTGTTTCAACCCATGTTTGGGTCAAATATGGACGAACACAACCGTTGGTTTTAAACATTTTGAAAAATTAAACCAACCGTTGGATTTAAAAAAAATAGTAAAATAAAAATAAACCAACCTTTGGGCTTAAAAATGTAGAAAATTTAAACCAATGGTTAGGTTTGTCCATATGTGATGACACAAACATGGGTTGAAACAACCCAGCAGTTTTTACAGTGCACAAATACAACTACAAATGTACAAAACAATAGTAGTAACTGATTATTACATGTAATCTGGATTACCTAATCCGAAAATCAAGTAGGTCTACTTGTAATTAGATTAAATTACATTTTAAAATACTTGTAATCTCACTAGTTAGCCTACTTTTGATTACATACATGTTATTCTCACAATGTCATTCAATTATTCATAATTCACTGATTCTCCCTACTACAAGCAGGTATACCAATAAAATATATGTTTTTAGTAAGTGTTTTATTTTAACATTATTTTAATTTAATTGTTTTTATGATTGAATTACTTATAATGGCTTTTCATTAAACTTACTAACCCCTGACATAATGTAACATTTAACGCATGTCATGTTGTTGATAACAATAATGAAATCTATTTTCTTTCTATATGTATTTTATATCAATATGGTAAGGTACCGGTAATCAAGATTATCCTATTCAAATCAATGTGATAACTGTTGTCAAAAGTAATCAAAAAGTAATCAGATTTATCACCTTAAATGTGTAACGTAATGGATTTAGTGACTAACTGTAATATTTTTCATGTAATTTGGAATTAGTAACCGACTACAATTTGCAATTAATCTACACAGCACTGAATATATTTGTCTACAAAACTAAACTTTTAAACAAATGCCTGAATCATGAGAAATGAACTAAACCAGGCAATCAAATACTCAATATTTTAGTAATACTGTTGAATTCATATTTTAAGTATGAAATGTGGAATTGCATAAAAGTACAAGTGTAGTAGTTGTATGTTTTAGTGTGAAGTTTAACTTTAGGCAAGCATGTATACAAAATATTTAAATGTGAAGTTTTGAGAATGGTTCATTAACCAATATTGATCAGCTGCTATCCTGAATATCCAGTTGTTGTTTTAGGTTATGGTAGTTACAGCCCTCAGTGTAAAAATGTACAAAGTTCGTGTCATTTCACATCATGACTTCATCTATCTGTCCATCTCTCTGTAGTGCACAGTGAGCATGTGGAGTTTCTCTTCAACATGTCCACGGTGGCCAAGAGTGAGAAGATCCTGACGGCCGAGCTTCATCTGTTCAAGCTCAGGCCTCAAGCGTCTCTCGCCTTCAACAGACACCACTTCTGTCAGGTACGCTCCGATCTTACACACCGAGGAAGCCAACGAAGTAAGTTCTTCTGGTTATTAATCATAGAAGTGGTGTGTTTCTACAGGTCAGTGTCTATCAGGTTCTCGACGGCAGTAAAAAGAACGTCTCACAAGGGAAGAAGCTGCTCTCGTCCAGACTGGTTCCCATCCATTCCACCGGCTGGGAGGTTTTCACCATCACTCAAGCCGTAAGTAGCCTAGGCTATGAACCAAAATGAGGAATTTACATGCACAACTTTTGTTTCAATCGGTTGATGAATCTGAATGTAGTGTATACATAACGGCCAAACACGTTATGTCATGTCTTTTATGTCAGCTTCAAATCGGGAATATATTTTTTGACATGCACGAATATAGCCTACAGTTTTGCGCATAATAACCATTCTACATTGGTTCTACATTTGTTTTAAACAGCAGAATTAAATATTTAATAGCTTTCCTGTAGGTCAAAGAGCGTCCACGCTTGCAACGCCAAGGTCACGGGTTCGATTCCCAGGGAAAGCAAGAACTGATAAGAATGTAAATGTGTACCTTGAAATGCAATGTAAGTCGCTTTGGATAGAAGTGTCTGCCAAATGCATAAATGTAAATCTAAAAAAAGTGGCACATCATTGAAAGTTTGGGAATCCATGACATAATCAAAATATTTATCCATTTCTGGTCGTAATTTGGAGACTATGGCGTATGAACTATTGTGCCTTGCTGTTTATATTTATCACGCAGTACAACTGCCCAAAACCAGTCGTCTGTGGATGAGAATCCGAAACAAGGACTGGTGACGTGGTCCTGCTCCACTTCACAGACGCAGTGAAAGGAGAATTTAAAGGGTTAGTTCACCCAAAAATGAAAATGATGTCATTAATGACTCGCCCTCATGTCGTCCCAAGCCCGTAAGACCTCCGTTCATCTTCAGAACACAGTTTAAGATATTTTAGATTTAGTCCGAGAGCTTTCTGTCCCTCCATTGAAAATGTGTGTACGGTATACTGTCCTTGTCCAGAAAGGAAATAAAGACATCATCAAAGTAGTCCATGTGACATCAGTGGGTTAGTTAGAGTGTGTTGAAGCATCGAAAATACATTTTGGTCCAAAAATATCAAAAACTCGTAAGACGCTGCTGACGTGTGTCTGGTGTGTGTGTGTGTGTGTGTGTGTGTGTGTGTTCTGGTTCTGTTGTGGATCCGCGTTCAGTGCCGCCGCTGACGTAAGGCGCTGCTGACGTGTGTCTGGTGTGTGTGTGTGTGTGTGTGTGTGTGTTCTGGTTCTGTTGTGGATCCGCGTTCAGTGCCGCCGCTGACGTAAGACGCTGCTGACGTGTGTCTGGTGTGTGTGTGTGTGTGTGTGTGTGTCTGGTGCGCCCGAGCTTCGTTTACAGTCTGAGGGAGACGCACGCTGGAAACAAAACAATCTTCGCAAACATGTCTAAGGATTTCCACACAGAAGAAGACTTGCATTTCTTTGCCCAGCCATATTTATTTGAACCCGAATACACGGGCA